ATTTTTTTTTCAACGTTTTTTATTTTATTTTTGGGACAGAGGGAGACACAGCATGAACAGGGGAGGGGCAGAGAGAGAGGGAGACACAGAATCAGAAGCAGGCTCCAGGCTCCGAGCCATCAGCCCAGAGCCTGACGCGGGGCTCGAACTCACGGACAGCGAGATCGTGACCTGGCTGAAGTCGGACGCTTAACCGACTGCGCCACCCAGGCGCCCCTCTTCATAAGCCTTAAAATGACTGTCCACAGAATAGTGTGTATAGGCAAATAAGCTAGAATTCTGATTCTATCATGTACCTTTTTGTAATGTTTATTTTGAGAGAGAGAGAGAGAGAGAGAGAGAGAGAGAATGAACGAATATGAGCAGGGGAGGGGCAAAGAAGAGAGGGTGAGAGAATCTCAAGCAGACTCCACACTCAGTGCAGAGTCCAATGTGGGGTTCGAACTCACGACCTCAAGATCATGACCTGAGCTGAAATCTAGAGTCAGATGCTTAAATGAGTCACTCAGATGCCCCTGCTACTGGAACATTTTAACTTACATATGTGTTATACATTATGTTTCTATTGGATGGTACTTTTCAGACAGTAGTAAGGTCCTCAGGTTGGTCCACAGAAGTCCAAGTACCTGAGAATACAGCTTACTTATAATCCAAATAATAGAAGCTTGAGCTCTGGATCCCAAGAGTAGGAAATCAGAGACTACAAAAGAAGAGGAAGATGTTTCTGCTCTACTATCTTTGGGAAGAGTGAATGCTAGGCAGAAATTTGAAACACTGGATGTTAACACTTCCTTTCTTTGTCCTTCTCACTGCTGGCACTTCCCCTTCTGTCTGCTTAAGTCTTGTTAATTTAATCTTCTACTTTAGCATCTCCCCTAGGCTAGCCTATCCTGCAGCTGTCCTATCTTGCAAAGTGCTCCAAATTGCAAAATGATCTTAATCCAAACTTTTTGGGATAGTTATCTAAGGTGTTCTGAAAAAGCAGTATTGCTGAAATGATTCATACAGATACAAATAACTGGTTATTAAAGTTACTTATATATTTAAGTAAACCCTACCACCAACATGGGGCTTGAACTCAAGACCTCAAGATCAAAAGAGTTGCATGCTCTACCAAATGAGCTAGCCAGGTGCCCCAAAGTTACTCATTTATTTAAAACATACTTATTAAAATTTATTAACCTTTCATTGACTAATAGTAAAAGGCAAAAGTGAACAAGGAAGTTAGTAGTGGCATACTCTGCTCCTCGATCAGTTCCCCTAAGTGCTTTTTTTTCCTACAGCTTGCTCTCTTTTTGGACTTAGAGATTAAAAAAAAAACAACACAAAGGCTTTCAAAGGCAACAGAAGAGCTTCGGGCTTTGGACAATGACTGTACTTATTTGTTTTGTTTTGTTTTTTTTAATTTTTTTAATGTTTATTTATCTTTGAGACAGAGAGAGACAGAGCATGAACAGGGGAGG